TCTCACGGTTCATGAACCGTGATAGTTAAGACAGTTGAAATTTTGACAGATGATGTATTTCTATCGCGACTGTAACAAACATTACTAAAAAACAGAATAGAAAAAAAAATATAGGCGCTCAGACAACATACATGATTTTTTGCCGTCTTTATAGATACTGGTACGGAACTTTTCGATCGCGTGTCCGACACGCACTTGGCCAGTCTTTATTTGTTAATGTCCATGGGCAGCAGTTATCACCTCAGGGGAACTGCCTGCTCGCTTGCCAATTTTTAACGGAGAAGAATCATAGCACAATAATTACCTAGTTCAGTTGGACGTTATGCTAAAAGATGGACCTAATGCTTGTTTACACGAAATGTACCTATTCATTATTTCATTTCACGAAATGGTCCCTGCATGTGTTTCAAATGGCAACTTCTAAGTTAAATTCAATAACGAACCGTTCTAATCGGGCCTTCGTCGACCTATTACGGACGTCAAATTTAATATACGATCTCAAACTTGCTCCTGTCCCAATAGCAACGACTAGTAACTCTGCGATCGATTCTACAATACCAGTTTAAGTCCATGACATCGCCCCGGTGGTTCTAAGTCCAAAAATAACTAAAGTCAAATGTTATATATTTATTACAAGTAGGTATTAATATATTCATATGTTCCGTAACCTTGCAAGGTATCGTAATATAATGTAGACGAAACTTTAAGTTAAAATTCTTATTTAACCATAAAACAATTCTAGAATTTCAATGATGTTTATTTTATGTCAAAGTACTCCAAAGCTACAAAATTGCTTAAAGTTACTCAACGCATCAAAAGTCATAAACCAAAAGTTTATTAAGATTTTTGCAAAATTGTAGAACGTTCGATCTACTATTGCTATTAGAAGGCTGCCTGATGTAAAGCTGGGTTCAGTCTGACTATTATTGTTTCTTGCAGGCACTGGGAATCCTACAGCAATTTCACCCCATTGGGTGCATTCGAGTTCTTTTCGTTTTGCGCTCCGCGAACATTCTTTGTATAAATTTACGAACATTTGTACACAGGATGGACAGCGCAGCGTAATATTCTCTCAATTCGGCACAGAAGGCGTTTTCGGGAGACAATGAATAAAGAATATTTCAATGCTCATGGCTCGTCGGTGGCGGTTCAGGGTTGAAATCCTGGGTCCACACGGGACAAGTATTGGTGTAGCCCTTAGATAAAATTGTCCCGGATCGGGGTATGTTCCCAAGGCGGGTTGACACGTTGATTATCGCGCGAAAACGAAGACAAAAGGGGCGTTATTACGCGTCGGGCGTCAGGTCGCGCGGTAGTTCGCCGTAAACATTAGCCGCTGTTAAACTCGGCTACGATTCTACCAGCACATGACCCGCATAACGAACGCAATCGGGCGAGGGTATGTACATGATGACGCAACACACCTCGTCCCGACGTTTAGCAAATAGGATCGAAACCTCTTAACGCTGAAGGTTTCAATCGCCCTAAATCGCGTCTTGCGCAGTGATTAAGGCACGCAGAGAGTAAGGCTGATGTAACCACTTCCTTAAGATTCACAGCTTCACCGACATCCGATCTCGCAGATGCCTCGTAGCCAAAATTTTCTCCGGTTAAGAACCACAATAAAATGTTTCGTTTGCCAAGATCAGTCTACAAGAAAAAAATTACACACTTGACAAATGAGTTAATTTAGTTTAGTCATGTACAGTCGATAGTGATAAGCAATGATATTCAATAATATAGATGACACATGTCCATACAGCGCGGCGTTTATAAATTGTTCCGCTTTAAATTGTGTGACATCTATAAGTGAATGTGACAGATGATATAGAACGTATGATACGGAATGAGATAGCAGTCTATAGAATTGCACTCTAATTCCACCAATTGGTGTAATTTAAGTAACTCAATTTCGATGCGACGTACCATGCCAATTTGGCTTTTTGTTCTCGCTCATACCGAATTTACTGAAATCCTTACAGCCTTTGCACGGAGTGGGAGCAAATACATTGATACACAAGATTTCGCCGTTACAGCATTGGTACGATTTGTTAACGCGTTTACTTAAAACGTGTACAAAACTCGCAGCGTGAGCACATAGTCACGTGTACGCGAAACGGTGAAATTATTGGGCAAACAGCCAATCGATCTAGCACTGGCAACGGCTCCACGTATAGAGTCCCTCTTACTCGCTCCGTATGCCGCAACATTATCCTAAATGCGGAATAAGTGAATGTTTCGAACGTCACTAAGAGAAGCGATGTTGTCTATGACATTTTTGTTTAATTAATTCATCGTGGCATTGACCGTGAGGCCTCCAGCCGAAAACCATCAAAATTGTTTCAAAAAAGAAATTTTGTTTAAAATAGAATGCGATGTGAGATGAATTGTGGACAATTTGAAAAAGAAGTTAAGTTATTTACAAGAGTTGAATCAAAAGTACTGTTTATGTTTCATTTTCACCAAGAGATTGGCTGCCGCTTCGACCTTTGAACTGCCAGCATGGCGTAAGGTTTGCCCTTTTATTCAAACCGCATCGTAATAGAAACATTCTTTCAACATAAGTCATATTCTGTTTCTTTCGAGTTTTACGATAACAGTTACTACATATTAGTAGGTAGTAGGTAAGGCGCTTGTTAAACATGTCTTCACGTTTTGACAGTAGTAACACAGTTAATAATGGCCTTTAATCAAAGAAATAGGAATAATAGAACAGCAATAATTGTTGATGGAGTGGTGGGAAATATTTAATCATTTTCACTATTATCCATTTAAAGGTTTACCTGTTATTAATTCAGCCTTAGCTCCATTGCCATATTATTGCATTCATTCTCTTATAAATGTCAAGGAAAAGTTTACCCATTTCAACGTCTGAATTATACCTACTTATAACTTATACCTGTGCCAACTTCCATTTATATCGCTTAATTGTCAATATAATATAATTACAATTGTAATTTTCTATTGCTCCCATTCCATACAAATTATTTAAAGGAAACATAAAAAATTATTAGATATACATTAGTGCGCGCGTGACACTACGAAAGCACGACCTACGTGTTATGTACATACAAAAATTTACAGAGCATATACATATATCTCTACATCGTTATTGATAGATGAAACATCTTCATTCGCAAATAAGCGAACTTATATAAGATAATTATATGGCAATTTAATAAGCCTATTAGTACGGCAGTCAACACAAAATGTCCATTGTTAAATTTTTTATGCAAAATCATACTTATTATTTAAAGTATGTATTTAATATGCATGCTTCTTCTCCATTTGCTAATTTAATTCGATTTATAAAAACATGGTGTCTCTGTCCTCGGAACACTTTAAACCAGTCCGGTTTGTTGGAGGTTATGTGCGTTCGGAAATTGTACGCGGGACGCTTACTATCATATATTTTATAATAAGGATTTATACAGATATAAAAGAATTTTTTCAATTCCTGAAATGAAAATTTTTATTTTATTTATGTATAATTTTACTGTCGTGATTTTGCTAGCGTATTGTAAACTTGTTTCTGAGTAATCGCGATGTTTGTCAATGTTTTGGTTGAGAAATCCATTATTTGTTTATATTAAATTTTTGGCGCTTTTGGAAAAATTTGTGAGATTTAGGATTAATAAGTTTTAGGACGCGCGCGCACACCGACCCTTGCTTCGTAACCAACTTCACCATTCACCATGTCGATTTTTGATGGCCATTAACTACCTTGTCGCTTTTTGATGGCCGGTGTGTATGGATGGTGTGTGAGTTGGGCAACCAATAACATTGGTATTTACCAACAAATCCAAATTATTCAAATAAACCGTTATCAATTGCATTTATTATCTTTACGATATGGAAGTGTAACTTTTTGTGTACATAGCACACAAATACTTTTTTATTTAATTCTTCAAAGATTCTTCACGTCAATGATTATCGTTTTAAATTAAAACGCAACGCGAAATATCTAATGCTAACCATAAATGACCTTTCCATTATCGTTCATATCGTGTTTTTAATTAACATACCAAACTATGTACTATATTTATATGGCGCGTAATTGACGAGCATTTTATAACATTTATATATCTATATTTTTTATATCTATCCGCGCTCTGCAAAAACTGCCTGCATTTCAAAATCCCCATGTCACGGGTGGAACAATGAAGCATACTTTTTTCAAACATTGGATTAATGATAAATGGAGTTAATGTTCTTAAGATAACTATCAAATCGGCTATGTCTTTCAAAACCATTCATCAAAAACAAATATGAAATGTGCATTCCTTTCAAGATTTTTCTACATTATAATCTCATGTATGTATGGAGGCTCTCTTTGATAGGTATCTTATGTTACAGAAAAGAGAAAGGTTCGAGCAATATTTAAACAGAAAAACATGAATTCAGCATTCGACGAGTTTGAAAAAAATTGAGAGACCATATTGAATTGAATTCTGAAGTCGTTATTTCTTTATTTGTTGTTACTTTTACAATAATGTTTATATGGCTGTATTTATGCCAAACTGACTAAGATTGTACTTATTATAAATGAAAAGGGAAGTATCAGCCTATACATGTCCCACTGCTGGGCAAAGGCCTCCTTTGTACAGAGGGTATCAGGGCATAGTCCACCACGCGGCTCCACTGCGGATTGGTGGACTTTACTTATATCTTCGAAATATATTTTTTTGTTATTATTTCGAAAATATGCAGGTTTATACACGATGTTTTCCTTCACCGCTGAGCACGGGATAATTCGGCACCTAAAATTAACAATTTCATTGGTGCCTGCACCGGGGATCAAACTCAGGTTACTCGAGTATATTAAATGAAAGGCGAGCGCCCAGACACTGAGCTATCACGGCTCTTGTACCTGTACTTATTGACCATTTATTATATTTTACATTTGTGTTTTCCATATAAATCATTAGATTTCCACAGTTTGTCCGAGCCAAAATAATTGACGCAAGCATTTTAATAATTTTCTTTGTTCTTTGTTACAGGATCTCAATATCCACAAACATGTCTGACGCCGCACATGGTCAAGTCGAAGGTGAGTGAAATGGTTTTAAGAGTCAATGCAATAAATACATTTTAAATATAACTTAACACCACTGACCAGTATATTTTTTTATAATTATGGTAAAGTCAATAGTTCTCCTAGAAACCAAAGAGAAATTTCATAAATGTTTAACAAAATTGGACAAAACATTTTGACTGCTGACTTTTTTATTTTTTTAAAAGTAATGACAGTTGAAGTCGCAAGTCACTGATATTTTCAAAAATAAATGTAATGATTGGTTAAATTGCACAGTGTCATTATTTTTAATTGAATATTATATTTTTACCAAAATTGGGTCATTATTAGATGAAAATATATATCTCTTTTTGTTAATTTGCAAAGTATGTAAACGCGGGCTGCAATATGAAAATTGCGTTTAAATATGTATCAACTTATTACAGCAAAGGCGGAAACAGTTACTGAGGCCCCGAAAGGTTTGTGACACTGTCATAGCGATGTTTGTTCTTTGTAGTGCTTAATAAAATAACTCTGTAATGTTCGATACTTTCCGTGGGTCCATTAGAACATTACTTAAGCTAATATAACATTTGCGTAAGCTTTACATGCCTCAGTGACACGAGTACCAGACCAATTTATTTTAGCATTACGTAGATCATGTTATTATGCCTGTACCAAATTTCTTTCCAAAGCCCATATTAATAAAACAAAATTGTTTTGTGCAAAGCCATCTTGATTTAAATCGTAACTTAATTTATCCAGACACCGTATTACTAACTTCTTTCTCCGTCTTTGGCAATTTTCTTGTGTAGTTGATATAGTTATATGTCACGTTAATCGTTTTTTTCCCCTTTTAACTGCTAATTAGCGTATACGGTAATGCTATTTTGCTGTCGTTGTATTAATTGTGTATGGTTGCCCAACCTGTGTTATTTTTGCCTGTAGGTAACAATAATATTATTGTTTTTCTGAGAGCCATTAACCTGTTCATTAACAGTGAATGATAAAATAAACTAGATGTAGGTATGTTAAATGTTGTAGAATTGCATTAGAGAACGGTTACCGCGCTCCGTGTTATCCGTTCGGTCGCGCTCGTTTGTCATTCGTTCGAATAAACTCGTGTCATTCATTCCGCTCGTGCCGCTGTTCTTTACGTTCACGTGCTTCTTACGCGCCACAGCGTGCCCGCGGTATTTCTGTCGCTCGACCGATCGACCGTTTTATTGCTAAACATCTTAGGAAAATCTCTACACGAACTGTAAATAAACACATATTTGTTTACTTCTATTTCGGATAGGTGTGTATACTTTAGTTTGCATATTTTGCGGTCGACGTTTAAACATTATGACGTCATGTGTTTTTTTTATTTAGAGGGTATTATTTAATGCGTTATTTTTGTCAAATACACCCAGCTAGGTCCAAAATTAATTGAAACGGCGCCTTTTATGATACGCGAGCGGTTCACGCATAGTATTTTCATGGCATGTACACTACAACACAATGCGACTATTTTTACTATCACTCGATTTGTGTGTAGAAACTTGGCGTATGTGCCTTTAGCTAATGAACGAGAAAACGTATGCAGGTATTTAATGTATTTTGCCCATGAAATAAATTTTTATGGTCCTAATTGACACTATTTTTTATACTAGTAGACCCCTTGATGAATTAAATGCGGATTTAGAGGTCTGGAGACTTCGGGGCAACAAAGGTGTGGAGGCCGCTTGGCCCCAAATTATTTTCCGAATAATATGAACAAAATATTTAGTCGAGTTTTCTTAACTTACTGTAAAACCAAGTATAGATTCTTTCATTATTTAATGAACATAGAAATATAAGCAGAAACAAGAATTTTCTAAAATTAAATTTTTGCGTTAACGAACGGGACTTGTTTATTAGTCTGAATTTGAATTTTTTTCCAAAGTCTATTGTGGGGCCCCGTTTGCCCTCCCCTAATTCCGGCCCTGTACTGTAAATGTTATGTTTTTGAGTTCATTAGCAAAACGATGTGAAAAAGGAATGGACATGATTGAAATACCATATTCGTACAACATTACACAAATACCTATTAAAGAAGTGGCTGTTAGAGCACCATTTAAGGTTTATGTTAACTTCTTTCTTCAAATTAATCGTCGCACACTTCGTCTAAACCTTGACAAAACTCGGCCAGTTAACTGATCTAATCCTCTAGTATATCGGGCGACAGTTAATACAGACAAAAACGGTCGCACTGTACTACGGCAGCGTGAATAAATCCTCCATGTGGCATCTTCGACAGACAACCCCAAGATCCTCTCGGGGCCGGTGCTGACCAACTCGCCGAACGCCGTGCTGTCGAAAACGCTGCTCGGCAGGTACAATGACCTGCCGCTGCCCGCTGATCGGATCCTCGCCACTTACATCTGGATCGACGGCACCGGGGAACACCTGCGGTCCAAGGATCGCACCTTAACCTTCATTCCCAAGCGGCCTAGCGGTGAGTGAGCACCGATCGGTGCTGGCCAGTTGGCGTTAAAAAAAAGAAAACCTTTTTTCTTGCTACATTATAGCCTGTCCCGTTTAAATGTCAGCCAGTTCTTTGTTCTTGATAATTGCACCCTTTTGTGATTAATTTGTATTTGTAGTGTTAGGGTCTATGTCGTAGTAAAAGTAACATCGCAGGAGCTTCTGCTGTTGCACGAAGGGTCAGGCTCGTCCGTGTTTGGCCTTTCAGAAAGAAGATCGGCGTGATGTGGAAGTATAAAACTAGACTTATATATGAATTAGTCTTCGACGATATTGTTAGCACTCGCTAGTCTAAGACTATTCCCATTTCCGTGTACACAGGCTTAGATTGCAGCGGGGGCAATCCAGCTGGAAGTCCGTTTCTGTACTAGCGGTGAAATTTTAGTGTAGCGCCAATAATATTTGAATACTCGATTCTGTGAAGACGAGAATTATTATTGATCCTTTATTTTGGCAGCACACATACATTTCTAATAGTATGTATACGTAAAAATAAAATACAAGATGACCAATAGTCTAATTGTTATTTTATAACCAATAATGCGTTTTGCTCTTTGGAACATACATAGTGTTGTGGAGAGACAAACTAGAAATCGCAGACGCAAATTTTGCACTGACCCGGAATAACTTAGCCGCACTCGTGAAAGCTATTGTCAAGGAGAAACATTAATACCATCGGGGGATCATTCACCACTTCAGTTGACGTAAAAAATAAAAACAAACAAACAAAAACCTACCACGGCTTCCTTTTACAAATCAAAAGAATGAATGTTTGCTAACATGGGTGCCAATTCGAATAGACCGTTTCACGGAGTTTGAAAATATGAGACATCGCGCATCGCAGCGGTATAAACAGGGCGGAACAAACGGTAGTACTTTACGATTGACGTATGTGTAAAAATAACACCTCACAGATATGTATCGCGCGCTATCGTGGCGTAATTAGCACAGCCCTAATCGTGCGGGAACAAGTTCGCGATTGTTATACAGCGCGGCGGTTAACAAACGCGCCGGCGGCTAAAAAACGCGCGAGCGTTCGAAAAACGCGCGTACATATCCGAGCAAGCCGCCATGAAATAAACACGACCAATAAACAAGGTATGGTAGCGCGTCCGCATTAGCTGTCGTAATTAACATTAAACGCGCTAATTGCGCGGCCTTCGCTGTCGCAAGTGAGTAGCACTCATGAAAACGGAATTGTGCTAATCAATGTATATAAACAAAATGAGGCCTGCCGTTGTGGCACATCACGGAAAAAACTACTGAATTAGAGATAAAGCAATCATTTCTGATTAATCGTAGTTTAAATTATTCATTTTTATCGTAACTGATGTTTAGACTAATGATTCTTTAGGGTAACTTGCGAACATTACAATAGCGTCGCCGCACAATTTAGACTGGCTGAGGGTTACAGGCATAACTTAAAAAAAATAAGCAGTTAAGGGGACTGCCGACAAAGCGAAAACTTAAAACTGGAATAAACTTGTTTTTTTTTTATTTTTAAATGAAACATAGTATGATTAATTTAAAAGAAACTCCAAATTGCAAAAGACCTATTTTACTTATCGAAATTTGATAATATAATAAACAATCATTTCGAGAGTAACTTTTTAGAACACGTTTGAAATACCGGCGCCGCGCCAGCGCGATTGCGTAGGCCCGAAATCGACGTCCCCACATCAATCCGATTTGACCGATATCGGTTGTTTGTCACAAAATACAGGCGACATTAAAATTCCGGCGCAATGCAACGAGACGAAACTTTCACAAGTCAGGGCTGCCAAATCATGAACGTTTACTTTTTAATAAAAAAATACTCTTTTTCCAGGACCATCCGGTCAGTAAAAGCCTATTCCCTCTTGCTTTTAATTCATTTTGAATTCGAGTTGCTAAAGTACATCCACAAATTATAACAGTACAAAATTTGTTCGGTTGCAATTAAAAAGAACGTTTTTATATTTCTATTTTATTTATTTTTTTCTTTTTCCTACGATAGTAACAATAAAAGGTACTCGAGGGTTTTTATGTATTGGTACCGAACACAATTAAATATATCAGTTTTTGTCTAAGACCAACAATACATTGTACGCTTTCGTTAACTTAAGGGCTTTGTGGCAGCCCTACGCTACGTGCTATCAGGGCTGCTTTTGAAGCGGCCGTTTTAATTTCGAATAAAGACAGAACAACACGTACTGAAGACGGCCATTTAGATAACGAAGCAACTCGGAATGGAATTTTGAGAACTGACCCATGATTTCTTGATTTCGTGGAATGCGATCCTCCGCCTATTGGCATCATAACGGGCTGCGGTGAACGTCTAAGGCGCTTTGCCGGCAATTTTACACAGATAACTATGTGCTTCACACATACGTCAACTGCTACGTTCGCCCTTGTTTTAGAGCCATTCGCGCATTCAAGTGGCGGCAGACTTGTAAACGTTCATAATTGAAACGTTCATGTCTCGACGCATATATCGTATATATATCATACAGCTCATAGAACCGATAACCTTTGGTGACAAAAGGTTCACGTGTGGCAGCCTCGTACTGCCCATCACAGTGTAGGACGACCCCCCACTTTATGGATTGATGTGCAGTGGCTCACATGTGCCAGTGTGCGGGAAGTCGATGGATCTAGGTGCGCTCGCAATCGTGCTTCGTAGCAGTGTGGGGGAGTGCTCTTCAACAGGCTGAAATGATGATGATGATGATGACAAAAGAAAAAACTCTGCGTTCTCGTTCTATGTAATGGCGAGTTAGAAACGAATGTGCGTTCGTAGACAAGTTGAGCCAGGCCCTGGACGCAATGGGCCGGCGGGGCGAGGCGTCGGCCTTCGGCGGTTTGGTGGGGAGGTACGCTGCCGAGTACGCGGCCCCCTTTTTCCACCCGAGGGCGGTGGAGGGGGCGCGCGTGCTCTGCCAACGCACCGCGCAACCGGCCAGCTTTGATGAGAACTTCAAAGGTTTCCGCAATGTCGCGTGGCCTATGCCGCCATCTTGTCGTGCCGTGTTCCATTTTCGAACGCTCGCGGCCTTAGTTTTTACTCGAGTTGTGTAGCAACACATTAACGTCGGTCGAGTATGGTAAATTCCCGCGTAGACATTGTTTGTGTTGAGTATGCCAATAAAAGTATATTTCGAGAGTATTTTATGTAATGATTAGTTTATGAGATACAGTAAGTAGTCGGTTGTTAGCGTATTTGTAATTTACGTTTAATTTTTTTATTTTTAATGGTAGTGTGCACTCGAGATGAGAATTAAAGGTGAACTATCGAAAAATTCGATGCAACCAGGATTAGAACCTGCGTTTTCTGAATTAGACTTCCTAATCGTCCAAACCTGGTTGCGTCGAAAGTTTTTCGACAATTTATCTAATAAACTCGTTTTTGCCATTGTTTCCGTTTTAGTTAGTCGATTCTTTTATTAATTTAGTGTGTTCATAAAAGTAATAAACGAAATGTCGAAACGGGATTCGAACCTGCCCCGTTATTCGGGGATATCGTTCCGGACTAGAAGCCCCTGGCCCGCCTCACTTGAGCCATCGACGCAAGAGGTTTCAACACTTTCGACGGATAAACTTCATTGGACAAACATCTGTTACACGAATCGTTAGTGTCTTAGTAATCGGCTCCGACCTTCACACCGAACGCGCCCCGTTATAATACGACCAGGCAACAGGGCGTCCTAGACCCCCGCACTGACCCAAACTGTGGCCACGCGCAGACCTGCCCGACTGGAACTTCGACGGCAGCTCGACGGGCCAGGCGGACGGCCACAACTCCGACACATTCCTGGTGCCGCGCGCCATCTACAAGGACCCGTTCAGGCGCGGCAACCACATCCTCGTCATGTGCGACACGTTCACCTACAACATGAAGCCGACCGGTGAGTGCGCCCCCCTCAGCAACGGTAACCCTATCGCCCGATTGGCAGATCTTTTTTTCGTCACTGTGGTAGGGCCGCGTGGCAGCTTCCGCTGTTGCACGAATGGGCAGTACTGTTCGGGGAAGTAAGCCCGCCTCATTGAAGCGGCCTGAAGTGCTAACCGGGTCGCACTATTTTAAAGGCTGCCAGCACAGCAGCGACCTCTCCGGTGTTCAAATGTTCATTAATATCGGCCGTAGCGCCTGCACGTTGGTCAACTTTTCACATTAAAAAATAAAACCGTTTCAAACGGTTTTATTTTATGTTTTTTTTGTTAATATTGTATTGTCATCTAAATTAAATGTGTGTACCAAATTTCAGATCAATCTGACAACGGCAAGGTGCTTAAATTTCAATTTCTAATTTTAACCCAAACAAACAAATTCCGTACGGGTCGAGCGTCACTCGGGACGTTGCGGACATCTAACGAACCGCATAGTCCTCGTGGCTACTAACGGTAAGGACGTGAGGGGTCTGATCTAGTTGTAAGCGGCCCGTTACAGAGAGCAACCACCGCGTCAAGTGCGAGGAGGCGTACAACGAGTGCAAGGACGAGGAGCCCTGGTTCGGCATCGAGCAGGAGTACATCCTGCTTGACTCTGACCTCAGGCCGTTCGGCTGGCCCCCAGGCGGCTGCCCGCCCCCGCAGGGCCCCTACTACTGCGGCGTCGGGGCCAACAAGGTGTTCGCGAGGGACCTAGTCGAGGCACACTACAGGTGAGACCCTGCACGCCAACTCTAAAGCCGTATTCACACAGGCCAAGGACAGCGGCGTGTGGCGAGTACAGTGGTCAGCGGCGGGCACCGGTCAAGTGGCTATTTACACTACAGCAACTACTGCGGAATTTCCCTGTTGCAACGGACGAGCAACGTCAAGAAATACGTGCAATTTTGCTTGCAATGGGTGCACTTGCACTAAAAAATGGAGAGCGATTTTATATTTCGGTAAAGTTGCAAGGCGGCTTGCAAGCTAAGTTGACGCGCCATTGTTTGATGGTTTACACCAGGGGTGAGCAACCTTTTAAATCAATGGGCCAATTTAAATTAAAAATTATTTTTGGCGGGCCGCACATAATAATTTACGAAACTTTATTTATAATAATTATTAGAATAATAAAACATAAAATTAAAAAAAATAAAGAATTTTATATACAAATATTAATGCAAGGTTTTATATACAAATATTAAACAAGAAAAGACCAAAAAACTGAACAAAAATGTTTCGGTTCAGTAAGTACTACCATTTTATTATAATTAAATTTATAACAATATATTGCCGGGAGAAATTCGATAAAATAATTTCAATTTAAGAAATACTTGGCGGGCCGCATAAACATGTTTAACGGGCCGCAAGCGGCCCGCGGGCCGCGCGTTGCTCATCCTTGGTTTACACAACTGTACCTGTTCAATTCGCTAAACACTTGACCGGTGTAAATCGGGCTTAAAATTTTTTCGATTAATTAACTACACAGCTTAAATCGCGTCCATCGGCCCATTTGCCGACTATCTCGGACCCATCAGGTCATTAATCAGGGTGAGTGGGATGACTTCGTCGTGGCGACCCGTCTCGCGCTGATTATTAAGGTCCGAAACTAGTTACATATACATACATTATATCGCGTTGGTCATTTCAAATTTCTCATTCGCGTCCCTATTTCAACTTTCTGTGATAACTTTTCGGCATATCCGGGGTTCGTTGCTTCGATCCCCACACTGGCCGAGTGTTTGTGTGATCATCAATCGTTCTGCGCCTGGTTGTGCTATTTACCTGTGGGTCGACTCCAGATCAGGGCGGGAGTTTGACGGCTTCCGACGTCTGGAAGGGGTCTGATAGTAAGCCCCAACGGACTTGGGGTTACCCCCTAGGACGTTTCACATACATAAATCTCGCATGCGATAGCTCAGTGTCCGGGCGCTCACCTTTAATTCTGAGTTCGTCCTTCTAAGCAATCTGAGTTCGATCCCCGGTGCTGCGGTGAATTTCACCAATGAAATTCTTAATTTAAGCGCCGAACGTGCTCAGCGGTGAAGGAAAGCACCGTGAGGAAACCTGCATATTTTCGAAAGAATAACAAAAAAGAATATTTCGAAGATATGTGAAGTCCGCCAGTCCGCAGTGGGGCCGCGTGGTGGACTATGCACTAATGCACTGTGTACAGAGGAGGCCCCTGCCCAGCAGTGGGACAAGTATAGGCTGATAGTGTGCAACTGTCCGTGGGTCCCACGTACAGTTGTCCCGCGCGGCTTCGAAGCGAACAACTCGGCACAGCGCGGTGCTGTGAGCCATTCCGCCGTCGCTCCGCAGGTGCTGCCTGTACGCGGGGGTCCCGATAGCGGGCACGAACGCGGAGGTGATGCCCTCCCAGTGGGAGTTCCAGGTGGGCCCCTCGGTGGGGGTGGGCGCCGGCGACGACCTCTGGATCGCGCGCTACATCCTGCACCGGCTCGCCGAGGAGTACGGCGTGATTGTGACCTTCGACCCGAAGCCGGTGCAGGGCTGGAACGGCTCCGGCGCCCACACCAACTTCTCCACGAAGAAGATGCGCGGCCCCGACGGCATCATGTGAGTAACCTAACCTAACCTCCGATTGCAGTATCTCCCCACCTAGACTGTGTAAGTGTTGTGCGGGTAGGGTTGACATTTTCTTGATGGCTTTTTAAAAGGTGTAGGTGTGGTGTATTCACACAGGAGGTTCAGACTCGGTAATATGAACGTTTATTGAAATAAAAACAAACTTTTTTTTTCAAAAATAAAAGTCATTCTATTCCCCAAAAAAACAGAACTTGTCGACAATGCGGTAGTCATTCATAAATGTTTCGTATACTTTTAAAACGAACTTGTTTGCGTGTTAGTTATGAATGATCGAGCGTAAAATAAAATCACGCACTTTTTGAGATAAGTTAAAATGAATGTAATTAATTAATTACGAGTGATTTTAAATATTTATCATTTTTATATAACATTATTTATGTCTAGAATTTAATTAAAAATGGATATACGTAGAAAAGCCTGTATAGAGTTATTTTTTTCTAAGTGATAAAAATATTATACTTTTAGGAAATTTGAGGAGAAACATAGTACACACTTATTTCTATCATTTTTATTATGTAATATTTATTTTAAAACTTTTAATTTCCATGCGTATTTGTCAAAGAAAAAAATTAATTATTAACGAACTTAATTTTTTATTAAATTAATATATTTACTCTTTTTCCTCGCATTCTGAAATTCATCACGCCACGCACAGATACTTACTTAGTTTTATAGCTAGCCATTTTACAGTTAGTATAAAAAAAATGCAACAATTAAATTAGCAATGAAAACTTGCTTACTAATCATAGAAAATATTGTCATTCTATCACAAACGTAGATTACCAATAAACGTGTTACGCCCTTATATTCGTTTAATCTACTACCGTCTGCGTAAACTTTGGATAAACGACTAATAGGCTGAACCAGTTAGGTTCATCCTATATTCATAACTGTATTTCAAGTTTTTACCTAGATAATTACATCGTCACAATGTCTAGCTGTTTACGTATAAAAGTCCGTTATATATAATATAACAGTGCGCAATTTATAATCAATATAAAATAAAATCCACATAAAACGCGAATAATGCACTAGAGACTTTTTGAAATGCTTGCCTCGTGTCACGAAAAGTGCAAAATGTTTTGGAAGCAATAAAAATATCGGCCGCCCCACGGCCGTTGATTTACAAAGTCAACACTAAAGACAATCATCGAACTGTGTGTATTAACCGCGCAATTAGTTTTTTAACCGCAATTGTACCTTTAGTTTTATACCCCTTATTAGCTTCATATGTCGGTTTTATTTATAAAAATTGTCTCACATAGAGTTTTTTCAATAGGTTTCTGTTGCTTAAAAAAAATTTGTTTCTATCATAGAATAGTTGTCACAACTGTATCTCTGTAACCGTATGGTTTTTGGAAATCACTACATAATGTTAAAAAAAGTCGCCCCCCTGTTTGTCTGTCCCTTAAAACTACGCAACGGATCTTGATGCGGTTTTTGTTTAACTAGATAGATTGATTCAAGAGGAAGGTTTATACCTATAATACATTGCACCCGTGCGATGCCTTAACCGATTTACCCTTTACCGACCTTTTAAAGCAAGCGAGCCCCGGTCACCTCACTCGCTAGTCAAGACGCGAAAGTGTAGCTCTTCCGTTTCGGGCCGGTCTCCCGTGAGGCTGCATTGTATCTCCGGGCCGTTGCGTGGCAATATATTCTCTATGTCCCCCCCCCCCCCCCCCTGCCGCAGAGAGATCGAGAAGGCCATAGACAAGCTGTCCAAGGTGCACATGAAGCACATCAAGGTGTACGACCCGCGCGGCGGCAAGGACAACGAGCGCCGCCTCACCGGCCTCCACGAGACCGCCAGTATTAACGACTTCAGCGCCGGTGAGTTGTAACATCAGTTCGGAATCCCCTCCGGACACCCAATATCCATGATTACCCAGTGGCGCAGTTGCTAAGCTATTGGCTTCGCCTTTTGGGGTCGTGGGTTCGATTCCCGCAATCAGACAGGCGGCCGGTAGCAAACATATAGCCCAAAAACCGCTTACAACATGGTACAACATGTTGTGAGCGATTTTTGGCTATATGATCCCACCTAGGGCAGGAGGATGATGATGATGTTCCCAATGTCCGTCCATGTCGGCCAAGTAGAACATCAGCACACCGGTTAAAACTGTCGAGGGGTTTTTTCACCCGCAGGTTGCAGATTGCTTGCCATTTTAATATTGTGTTCCCTTGCTACCATACTCCTTTCAATCTATCGCAGTCCGTCGAATCCATCGCTGGGTATCCTTGCGACTTCCTCGCCGACTCCCGCCTCAGGGACTTGTATCGACGCATGAGAACTCGTTCGCTCACAAACCACAAATTCGTGTGTAAATCCAAAGGGGATTTCCCTCGGAAACCATTAAGTTATGATTTGTTGCAATATTCAAAAAATTTTTGGGCTCTAACAATCTCACCTTGAGCGGGCGGGGCAAACGAGTGCCCTACGTTGACGTGTACGAGTGGCGGATTGGCCGTGCCACGGAGCGTTCACCCGTTCACCCGTTGACCGGCAGGCGTGGCGAACCGCGGCAGCAGCATCAGGATACCGCGCCTCGTAGCGCAGGACAGGTGCGGCTACTTCGAGGACAGGCGGCCGGCTTCGAACTGCGACCCTTACGCCGTGGTGAACGCCCTCATGCGCACCTGCATACTGAACGAATAGCGACCAACGCCGCGGAACCGCCCGCCCCCCACCCCCTTATGATGGGCCCCCACACGGATACTATTGCCTCCCCCCCTGACTGTTCCTACTATCCCCCCACTAAGAGAGAAGCCGGTTATTCACCGGCCGAAGGTCCTTTGACTGTTTTACCCATCACTCTTCACACGTCGACGGCCGACGGCCAACTTCGCTACCCCTCACTCCCCTTCTCGCCCCTTTCCTAGTGCTGTGCAGTGGATCAATCCGCCCTGCCTTCTTCTTATAAGTCAACTCCCCTCGAAGCCTGCAATGAATGGCTGTACCCTAATGTCACGTATTCCACTCTTACTACCCCTTACTCCCTAAATAGTCACCCACTCCCAAACGAAAGTCTGAGAGCCCCACACCCTCCTATTTCTTGTCACATAACCGGAGGCATAACATAACATCGTTCAATCAATCTTAGCAATGGTTTAAACGGACCTCCCCTTTTGAGTAAAATTTTATGAATAATGGAAATAAAAGAATATACCTCATATTATAGTTGTTAGAAGAAAAGCAATCGTGATAGTGTAAATTTCGACTTTAACATCACCCGTGAAGTATGCACGTTGCAGGTGAGGGAGGGGGAGGGGAGCGATGAAATTATTGGTCAGCGATGCTAAGCTTTCAATACACTAGGGTTAATGGATCACAATGGACCACATAAGATATTACGAAGTAATAAATAAATAAAATGGTTAAATGAATAATATTAATTAATTAATTGATAGAGATGAGAGATATTTTTACGAATATTATGTGATATTTATAACACTAGTAATAATAATCGTTACTTTTGATGTTTTCTTTTTGAATAGTTTACGCGTAAAGATGTAACCACATATCATTATACCTAATATATCTATATTATTTGTTTAGAATCGCTGGGGCGTTGGTTTTGTAAACAACGTCGCTGACTATTTTGAGTGTTTATCGTCGTCGAGATTATTGTTTGATCCGGCGCAATCGATTATATAGATATGCGGAACTGTAGCTAGCACAAACTTTTTACGGTTAGTTTTGCACCACTTTGTTCTCCATTAGCGCACAACGGAAACTAGCGGAAACGTGTTATTGTGTAATTAAATGTTTATTGGATATTATAAAATAAATGATTATATGTTGTATTCACTGACGCTTTCATTAATAACCCTCCCACACAAAATACAATTACGCATGACACTTGAAATTGCCCACTGAACTTAGATCTGACTAAATTGTCACTAGTTCACAGTAACGTTGCTATTCAGAACAAAATTCATTTCACTCTGTGAAAGAATACTTGGAACGATAAGAACATAAATGTATGCCATGCCCTGCTTGAATATTGTAATACCGTGTATATTGTAATAATTTCATAATATAAATACAAATACGTTTCAACGTATTTATATTATGAAATTATTATGATAATGCTATGACTGTGGTAGGGCTAAGCAACAATGTTCACTGTTGCACGAATGGGCAGGTCCATCCGGGTTAGAACCACGACCTTAGAAAAGTCCGGCGTAAAGTAGGAGTACACCCCGGTTACGTCACTCACCAGACGAAACAGAAGTTTCGTCTCGTGAGTGAAGCCCGGGCCTACTTTATTTAAAGTGGGCAACCTTATCTACGAGTGTTGCAAATATCCATGGGCGGCTTCGAGTAGAAAATGATTTCTCCCATTTCTCAACATTCATTTTTATTTGAAGTGCCCCCTATTGGCACCAAGTCAGTCTGATAATGGAATCCGAGGCAAACCGAGGGCATCCCTCAAATGTTTTAGGTATTAATAATGTTTTTCATATAATTTTCTAAAGCTATCCGCTAACCAAATCCGGATGAATAGAGATCTCCGTCCAAAAAGTGTTCTGCCGTTTATGTCAAAGATTTTAGAGCGAAATATCTGTATGCAAATGACAGAATATATAATTATTATAAATATATATTAATAAGAATAAATTTTAGTACATTTTAATATGAACAAAATCTTTCACGGTGAACAATATGGATTCACTAAAGGCAGATCGACAACAGATGCGGGCTTCGCACTTGTCAAACATGTTTATAACGCATGGGAAAGGTCACAAGATGCAATAGGTGTCTCTTTTGACCTTTCAAAAGCCTTCGACTGCGTAGACCACAAAATTCTCCTTCAAGCTAGATTATTATGGGATTCGTGGCATCGCCCACAATCTCATTGCCTCTTACCTTAGTAATAGAATTCAAAAAGTATCTATAAATTATGTTAATTCCGATGAAAATGGGTGTCCCACAAGGATCAATCAACCCATTTTTATTTTTAGTATATATTAATGATCTCCCCTTTTATGCCAGTGGGTTGTGTGATGTACTGTTTGCTGACGAAACATCGCTAATTTTTAAGCTTGATCGAAATGTATTAATGCAAATGGGCTAAGCTCCACTGTTTTTGCGATTAGAAGGGTTAGGCAGCTAACAGACATCGACACTTCCAGACTTGATTACTTTATTTTCACCGCATCCTATCGTCCGGCAATTTGCTGTGGTGTAGTGCATCTGATATAAATTCTATATTTATTCTTCAAAAGAGAAGAGTTATCCGAGCAATCTACAATATCGGAGCCCGGAATTCACTCACAGATCTTTTTAAAGAGGGTAATATACTCACTGTTGCTTGTCAATACAATTGTAATATTTTGTATATAAGTCATAACCTTAAATATTACCTAAAGATTAGCGACAGACATAAAGTTAATACTAAAATAAGGACATAAGACGCCATTGTTTCGTCTACAAAAAGTAAATAGGTGCATTTATAAAAAATCCCACAGTCGATATTAAGTCTGCCACTTGATCAGTTTAAACGTAAAATTAAAAGTCAACTTATGGTTAAAGTATACTATACCATTGCGGAATATCTCGACGACGCCAATTTGTGGAGCTGGAGTTACTGTTGATACTCGTGTAGGATAATTTTTGATGTATAATGTGAAATATATTTTGGATTTAATTTGAACACCTTGAAAAAAAATCAAATTCTACCCGCTACGCAATCAGGGTTAGGTTTCGTAGTACCACGACTGCCTTGTTGAACCTACTGGACGATATTCTCACAGCACAGGACAATGGACAAAGTATATTACTAGTCTTGCTTGATTTTTTCCAGGCTTTTGATCAAGAACTCTATCCAAACTATAGCTTTGTCAATTCCAAAGTAAATATGGTTTGCTAGTTACCTTAATAATCTTATGCTTGATTATAAATTTTTAGTGCTAATATCCGCACTTAAGATTAAACATTAAAATTTGAAGGAAAAAGGAACGAAAAAACAGCGAAAAATACTTTCGTCGGCGTGGCAATCAGCCTTTTAGCTTATTGAACATCAGAGCGCGAATCCCGAAGACGTGGGTTCGATTCCACAGCGGCGAATAACTTTTCGTTACTTTTTTTGTAGAAATTTAAAAGTTTAATCTTAAGTACAATAACTATGCAATATGTTAAAATAAACAGAGACCTCGGCCCTGACTTGGTATCTACTAGAAGACAGAAGCGTTCCACAGGGTTCAACTTTGGGACCGATGCTTTTCATTCTATGAACAGTATGGTGTTTTAACCGCGACCGTTTTATAATTCATTTAATGTCGCGGTTAAAAGTTAATTAAGTCAATTTTTACACTGAGTCAAACTTCTAGCTACTTGCCAATAACCATAAAAAATATTTACGTTAAAAAACTCCAATAATTAAAATTGAAAATTAAATAACTCAATAAATATTGATATTTAATGAAAGTAAAAAAAAAATTAAACCGACACGACTTGTTGAATTAAATATAGAAATAAAATAGAAACATACGATTGTATTTGTTATAAAATTTATTTACATATACGAATTTATATACCATACATGATTTCAGCTAGTTTCTAGTTTCGGAACCATTGGCTCCCACAAATTTTCAATTGGGTTTAGATCAGGCGACTTGGATGGCCATGTTAACGCTGCTGCACGACTCGTATCCTCTGTTTCGCTCTCGCTCCCGCAGAAAGCCCTCGGTACCCACCGACCAACTGTAGCTCTCTGTCAAATAACGTTCTTCATTACAACAACTCTTCAAATTGCATTTTCATGCGGTGCTTGTGTAAGTGGCTCGATAAATTATAAAAGAGGTTTGCATGTAACAATGAAGATTAAAATATAATCGAAACAGAAATGCGTGAGTGTCGGGACCACTCGATGGGAACGAGGATCCTTTCGTAATTATTGATAAAATAAAGTTTTTGTTCCCGTAACTAAAAATATACATCGCCTGTGCTAGCTCTTCATTTGTAAAAGAAATAAGACTTGGAATTATACCTAAATCTAAAAGTCTTTATTGGTTGCCATCAACGATGCTTTAATGTAGATGACGCATGTCCATACTGTGCGGTATATATACAAGTGAATGCGACGGATGATATGGAACGTACCAAACGGAATGGCAAAGCAGTCTATAGAATTGCAATCTATTTACACGAATTGCGAGTCATTAGTGTCT